TCCTCTGCGATTTGTGTTCCGATGCGGGCCCGTTGGTGTGGGGGTGTTTGTTGTCTAGATTCAGCCGCCCGTGTGGGTCGTTCGGTTGGCCTGCATCTGCTGTGGTTTTGGGGCCGGGTGCATCTAACATATTTCCTGCTGGCCCGCCTCCCTTTGTCACGGCGCCGTTTCTGTCGTCGGTTGTGGTGGGATCCCTGGGGGGGAAAAAAAGTCGCAAAAGTTGACAGGTGGTCCTGCAGTTTTTTACCTGGTCGTCTTCCTTGGCAAGGTGCGTAGTCTCGGGGCGTTGCAGGTGCATGCATTTCGGCCCGGGTGCATTTGTCGTCGGCTGGTTTTACTTGGTCGTCTTGGTCGGGAAGATGCACAGTCTGGCGGCGTTGCAGGTGCTTGCATTTCCCGACTGGCTGGGGCATGTGCGCTCTTGGGAGGCGGGGGGGGTCTGCGTACCTTTTTCGATTGATGTGGTCAGGATATGAGGCCGGATGCTCTTTTGGCCCCGGTCCATCTGATGCGTTTTCTGCTGCGCCCGGTTTCCTTTGTTCGGATGCGGTGTCTGCCCTCGCTCAAGCGTGGATACCTTGGGGGGAAAAAAGTCGCAAAGGATGACGGGTGGTCCGCCGGTCTTACGTCGCTTTCCTGGTGAAGGTGTGTCTTCGTTGCCATGGTCGACATCCGTGCCAGTCCCGGGTTACTGCCCTCTTCGTTGGTTGGGCTCGTATCAAATTCCGGACGGTTGAAGTTTGTGGTGCCTGCGGTGACTTTCGCGTAAGAAATGTGATGATGACCTTAAAATAAAATGCCCGGCCCGACGTTAAATAACCCGGCCCGGTCATTGCTTTCGTTTTGGCTGGATTTTGTCTGGTTTTGGGCGCGGGTGCATTTTCTTCGTCCTGGCGTGCTGTCTGCTCCCGGTTGGGCCTCGTGAGCTTGGGGAAAAAATTGCTTGCAGGGGTGCTCGGGATGCTTTACCTGCTCGCGTTCCTGCCGAAGGTGTGCACTTTGGTTGTCTGGTGCGGTGTGACGCAGTCATTTTTTACTCCGTTTTCTTCTTTGCCGCTGAATTGTCACACTCTCAGGCTTTGTGTTGTCCGGTGTTTTCTGAGGCCGGAGTCATTATGTTGATATTGGGAAGGGCTTGCATTGGCCCTTCTTAGCCTGACCGTCTTGCGTCTTTTCAGAACTTCCGTCCCTCCAGGTGCTCACATTGGACTTCTGTAAGGACACATACGTTCTGTTTTCACCTAATTGCGAGTGCTTTTCCTTTGGTATGAGGACTGTTTAACATCTCGATTTGCACGGTGTGATGTCTATCTCGTGTGTTTCGTTCTCGTGCGTTTTGTTTGTTATGAACTCTGTTTGACATTTTGCTTTGCACCATGTGGTTACGGCTCCACTGCCACTTGGACTCACTAAACTGTCCTGGGTATCCACCTGCATTTTCGTGAACCTAGCAGTAGAACTTCCGTCTCCTTACCCACCCCTCCCGCACTTTCACCTCTCCCACTATTCCCAGTTGCGAAACCAGTGTGTGCGCCGTCAACAAACGAGCCATCAGTTCTACCTCGGCTGACTCTACGGGTTGCTTTTTGTTGGGACTCGTGGGTCAGAAATCTTTTGTGCTTCTTCTACTCGCGTTGACTTCTGTCTCTGTCGTCTTTCAAAACTTTCCTACTTCCTCGTGCCCTCCTGGACTTTTGTAACGACACATAGTGTGTTTTCACCTAATTGTGAGTGCTTTTCGTTTGATATGAGGGCCGTTTCACATCTCCATTTGCTCCGTGTCATGTCCATCTCATGTGTTTCGTTTGTTATCAACTCTGTTTGACATCTTGGTTTGCACCATGTCCTTTCGCCACCAGTGCCACTTGGACTCACTTAACTGTCCTGGATATTCACCTGCATTTTTTGCGAACCTAGCAATAGAACTTCCGTCTCCTTAACCAACCCTCCTGCACTTTCACTTCTCCCAGTGTTCTCGGTTCCAAAACCACTGTGTCTGCCCTCGACAACCGAACCATCGGTTCTACCTCGGCTAACTCCCGGCATAGACCTCACTGTGTCTGCCTCCACTATACAACGAATGGCTTCTATAAATATAAAGGATTTATATATACATATACAAACATACCTGCAGACACATTCTGAATACCTCCCTTCTCCGATCCAATTCGATACAAACACTCTTCTGAGTACTGCATTCCTCCTATGTGTTGTTAACTTCATTTTCCGATCACATTGTTACACCTCCTTCTCGCCCTCCAATTGTTGCAAACCGTCATGCCTGCCATGTAAGCCTCAACAAACGTCCATACAATTTCCTCTCGTGCTCGGAAGGCTTTCACCTTCCACTAATTCGCATGTCACTTTCCCCCTTGCAAAAAAAGAAAAGTTCCCATGTCTATGACAAAGGTCCTTTGTGTTCCTGGACTGTTTTACTCTTACGATTCATTCTGTTCCCATTTCTTTTCCCTCGGCACTGCATTCCATGCACCTCTTTCCCGCCCCTCCTCTAATATTTGAAACCTTATCCTGTCGTGAAATATATTCATCTTGCTATACCGTAACCCTTTGACCCGACGGCAGACCAATCACTCTGGCAGTAAAAAATAGAAAATAGGTTTCCTGCTGTAACAACTCGTCTGCCCGTCACTCTAACGGGTCAAAATCCGGCTGCAATTCCGACAGGGTCAGTTTTGAATGATGATGGTTCACCGCGGCTTACCTTCATAATATTGGGCGGGGAAAAACAACAAAAACAACACGCCCGCACATTCGGTCATGAGCCGAGGCGTCACGGCATAGTCAGCTCAACCAGTTTCCTGGCCTTATCTGCCTTCTATTACAGACTACGCTGCATCGATGTGACTTTGATTCCATCTGCAGCTAACTTCAAACGTCCCCTGT